AGAGAGAGAGAGAGAGAGAGAGAGAGAGAGAGAGAGAGAGAGAAGCAGGAGGATCCCCAGTTTGAGGCCAGCCTGGGAGTCTTGCTGAGGAGAAACTGAGGCCCAGGTCGGGTCAGACCACAAACGGTGGCAGCGGGACCATGGAAGCAGCTACTGCTCCACGTTGCCAGCTGCTTCTCATCACGTTGGTGGCGATGGCGACGCTGCCGCCAGAGATGAAGGGTTTACCGTGGCTTGTTCAGGGAACAATCGCCAGGACCATCGCGTTACAAGAAAGCATCGGCAAAGGTCAGTTTGCGGAAGTTTGGCGAGGCAATGGTGGGGAGAAGAAGGTGCCGTGAAGATGCTCTCTTAGATGAAAGAGTGTTCGTGCTTCTGAGAGACAGACATTTATCCGGCTGTGACTGCTCCAACCACAGAGGAGGCACACACACACACACACACACACACACACACACACACACACACACACAAAATTCTGCGGGGGAACCATAACCACGCCTAACAGCGACTTTGAAACCTTCACGAGGATGATGGGGCCCCACAAAGATGGTTCCACATGGACTATGATAAAGCCATTAAACTGATTAACGCCATGGAAAGATCTGCTTTGTACTTGGACTACAAACTACTCAGGACAATCTTGAGATGGCTAGCTAAGGTGATCCAGATTCACAGACTACTCAAGCAAGGACTTGAGACAAGCCCCGAATTTTCCCATTATGCAGAGACTGGATAACAAATGATACAGCTAACTCTCCCAGAACTTGACAATTAACCCAAAAAAATTCTTTTCAGGATCCCCTAAAGATGTCTTAACTCCCAGAAAGCAGGAAGTTATTTTAAGAAAATGATGCCCACATTCCCAAGATGTGGGATGGGAGGTTGTGGTTGTTTAATGAGTTATGGATATTGTTATTGTTTACGATGGTTGGTTATAAGTTGTCAATTGTTAATGGTCAGGAAAAAAGCTAAACAAGGAGATTAGATTCAGGGTTTTTGTTTAAAAGAAAAGAAAAAGAAAAAAGAGAATATACATATGAGGTAGATCATTGAATCTATTCTGAAAAAAAGATATAGAAATGATAGTATAAAAAGGTAGATTATTGAATCTATTCTGAAAAGAAAAAAAGGAAGATATAGAAATGATAAGATAAAAGTTAGATTGTTGAATCTACTTTTAAAAAGGAATTGCTTGTTTTAAATAGGATAAGTAATGAAGTTTTTTTTGTCTGAATCTGTCAAATGTTAATGGACTAGACATTGTTAATGTAATTCTTGACTGTATACATTGTATATATTTATTGTATATACTTTTTCTTATATTAGTTATAATTTTTTATTTTAAACAAAAAAGGGGAAATGTGGTTGATATATTGTGTACCCCAATAAACTTATCTGGGGGTCAGAGAACAGAATGGCTGCTATATTAAACATAGAGGTTAGGCAGTGGTAGCACACACCTTTAATCCTAGCCTTCTGGAGACAGATCCATCGGAATCTCTGAGTTCAAAGCCACACTGGAAACAGCCAGGCATGGTGACACACGCCTTTAATCCCAGGAAGTGATGTCAGATAGCAGAAAGGTATATAAGGCGTGAGAATCAAGAAATAGAGCTAGTTAAGCTTCAGGCTTTCGAGAAGCAGTCCAGCTGAGATCCATCCGGATGAGGACTCAGAGGCTTCCAGTCTGAGGAAACAGGATCGGCTGAGGAATTGGCGAGGTGAGATTAGCTGTGGCTTGTGTTCTGTCTCTCTGATCTTTCAGTGTTCACCCCAATACCTGGCTCCCGGTTTGCTTTTATTAATAGACCTTTTAAGATTCATGCTACAGAGGAGGGGGTATTGGGGAAAATTATAAAGGCCACTCCACGTAGTTAAAAGGAAGATTTATTTAGTGGATGACTTACAAATGAAGGAATGGATAGGTTGCGGGGGTCTGGGGAAGGCGTATAGCAATCCAGCGGTGTTCTCTGGAGCTCTGCACAATCAATCTCCACCATCCAGGGTCCAGGCGCAGAGAGCGCTCCCAGAGCGACCGCTTGCCCATCCAGCTCTCAGGTTTCCAGCACCTCCCCTCGCCCCGCCTCATAGGCGTGACAGTTGCCAGAGTCTCAATGGGGGTTGGAGCTTCCAGATCCAAGCTGGAATGGCTACCCACTACATCGGGGTGCATCCCAGCGTGTGGTATGAAGATTAAAAGACAATCTTGCCGGGCGGTGGTGGCGCACACCTTTAATCCCAGCACTCGGGAGTCAGAGGCAGGCGGATCTCTGTGAGTTCGAGGCCAGCCTGGGCTACCAAGTGAGTTCCAGGAAAGGCGCAAAGCTACACAGAGAAACCCTGTCTCGGAGGAAAAAAAAAAAAAAAAAAAGACAATCTCACAGAGTAGGTTCTCTCCTCTTACTTTTGTGATCTAAGGACTGAACTTAGGTCCCCAGAGTTGTTCAGGGAGTGACTCTGTTGGACCCCAAAGTTTAGGGCCTCAAGTGGGCGCCCCAAGAACCCAGACTCCAGTCCAGTTGATGCAATAGCATGAGGATTTTATTATTAAAGCTTCTATATAGAAGGGCAATCCCTGCTCCTAAGAGTATAAGCAGCATCTTACTGCAGCCCCAAGAGGGCTTTTAAAGGAAAAACCCACAAGATTACAATTCCCATACAATTTCGTTTCACAAGATCATGGTCTGAGTACAGAGTGATCACAGAGGGGGTACAGTTACGTCAACAGGTACATTTTTCCTGAAACCTCAAGGGGGGTATCAAGGCTGGAGTGGAGTTTACACACAGGTCATGGTGGTCCTTCCTGGAACACCTGCAACTATCCCAGTCACAGTTGAGCACATCTCTTAACAGAAATCTCTTTACATTGTTATATGGTTGCAGGGGAGATTGAACAATGGCTGAGTCAGGTTGCTCTTGGAACTAGAATTTTAGTTTCTCATTTCCTGGTGCTTGAAGTTTCTCTTTTCCTGAGGCTTGGGGGTATAAGCCTGAAGGGCTAGGGTCTTTCAGCTCTACCCACTGAACCATCTTGCCTGGTGTCTTTTGTTTTGTTTTACTGATCCTTTTAAGTTTATAGATTTGCAGCCAGAGAGATGGCGCAGTGGGTAAAGGCTTCTGCCACCAACACCGACAACCTGAGTTCCATCCCGGGTACTTACTTGGTGGGAGGAGAGAAACCAGGCTTTCCAGCCTCCTCCACTCAGCATCTTCACAGTTTCCTGCCTATCACTAGCCGGAGGAAAGGATCCAACTGCATGTGTCTGGCTTGCCCACCACTGTACAGTCAAAATATCATGAGTCAAACCATCCTTCCGTGCGGGACCATCTGTATTTATGGTTGAAGTGACAGTGTGGCTGGGGTTTGTTTGGGAGCGTCTAGCAGAGGTGGGAGAAAACGACGTGGCCTGAAATGAAATAAGAGATAAGTACTAGTGGGAACTGTGCCTAAGTGGTGATGCACAGCTGTCATCCCCGCATGCAGAAGACTGCGGCAGGAGGCTGGAAAGCTACGGGACAGCCTGGGTTACAGCAAGACCCTGTGGGTGCGCACGTGCGCGCGTGTGTGTGATATAAACATAGTATAACAGAAATGTATGTGTGTATATGTGTGTGTCGGTCATATATGTGGCTTCCCTTCCACCATGTGGGTCCCAGGGATTGAAACTCAGATCCGAAGGCTTAGCAACAACCACCTTTTCCTGCTGAGCGGTCTCAACAGCCCGGTATTTTAATGAGTTAGGCTCCCTGTTACATTGTTACAGCACTATACTGGTGCATCAGACAAGGTCTCGGGTAGCCCAGAATAGACACGAACTTGACATGTAGCTGAGGATGACCTTGAACTCCTGGTCCTCTTTCCCCTGTTTCCTAAGAGCTGGGATAACAAGTGTACACCACTATGCCAGACTTCGGTCTTTTGAATCTCAGTTCTATGAGACAGGGTTCTGCTACGGTGCTCGGCTTGGTCTGGAATTCACTACACCGCTAAGCTGGCCGTGAACTCGTAGTCTTCTACTGAGCTCCTACGTATTGATAGAACTGCAGGCTTGAACCACCAAACCCTTTCAAACTTTGTAGACCACCCTCTTAGAGAGATGAAACACCATGACCAAAAGCAGCTTGGGGAGTGTGGGGTATACTGTGTATCAAATAAAGCTTGTCTGAAGATCAGGGGACAGAGCAAGCCACTAGATTAAACACAGAGGCCAGGCAGTGGTGGCACACACCTTTAATCCCAGCACTCATGAGTCAGAGATCCATCTGGGTCTCTGTGAGTTCAAAGCCACCCTGGAATACCTGAGATTGAATCAGTCTAGGAGAGAAACAGAGCCAGGGTGTGGTGGCACACACCTTTAATCCCAGCACTTGAGATCTCATGCCTTTGCTTGGGAAGTACACACGCCTTTAATCCCAGGAAGTAACAAGGCAGGGCAGAGAAAGGTATATAAGGCGTGAGGAAACAGAACTAAGGACTTTTCGGCTAGAAGCCTTTTCAGCTGAGGCAGCTCATTCGACTAAAGGTTTTTTCGGCAGAGACCTTTTCGCTAGAGTCTTTTGGCAAAGGATGCAGAGGCAGTCAGAGGATCCATGGAGTTGGCGAGGGGAGCGTGGCTGTGGCTTATTATTTTGTCTCTCTGATCTCTCAGCATTTACCCTAATGTTTGGCTTTGTTTTTTGTTTTTTATTATGAGACTTTTTAGAATTCGAACAACAATTGGAAGAGTAAGTCCATTTCAAGAGCACTCGGAGCTGGTTTTCACCTTGAGGAAAAGCCACTTGCGGCCTGAGAATTCGCCCGATATGCTTAATAAGGGGGACGACTGCTATTTTTACTTCTATTCTACATGCACCAAGGGTGCCAGCTGCCCATTCCGCCACTGTGACGCCGCACTAGGAAATGAAACTGTCTGCACACTCTGGCAAGAAGGTCGCTGTTTCCGACGGGTGTGCAGATTTCGCCACATGGAAATTGACAAAAAACGAAGTGAAATTCCTTGTTATTGGGAAAATCAGCCAACGGGGTGTCGGAAACTAAACTGTGCTTTCCATCACAAGAGAGGTCGTTACATTGACGGGCTCTTCCGACCTCCAAGCAAAACTGTGTTGCCCACTGGGCGTGAGTTGCAAGAAGTAAAGGCTAGCCAGCTCGCAGATCGACAGAACAAACTGTGGGTCCCGTTTAATTCCCCCCCTCAACTGCAGTGTGTAATGGAATCAGAAAGTGTTCCTAGGCCCACGCATCCACCCATTGTAATCAATCTTGCGGAGGATGATGAAGACGATGACGACGATGATGATGATGATGATCAGTTTTCGGAGGAGGGCGATGGAAGCAAAACACCTGCCCTGCAACCGACTCCTGAGGTTCATAACGGAATAGGAGTGGCTTCTGCCCGGAAACCCGGAGTCAGTTTAAAGCAAGGTGAGTGTTTGAATTTTGGAATAAAAACTCTTCAGGAAATTACATCAAAGAAAATGGAGGAAAAATCCAAGAAGCAAGGTGGCCCTGGAAAGGAGAATGTTTGGCCTGCAGTGAGGACAGGAGCTCTATCCAGCAAACAAGAAGAGCCCTTGGTTAGGTTGCCTCTCACTGAGAGAGTGGGGAAACGAAAATTTTCAGCAGATGGTGGCAGTGGTCCCCCGTTAAAGCGAGGCCTTGCACAGAGGCTGGGAAGAAAGGTGGACGCTCCAGAAAATAACGTTGATAAAGCACCAAAGAAAGAGAGACTTAACGAAGCTGGTGAGATCCACGTGAAGACACTGGAAGAAATTCTTCTTGAAAGAGCTAGTCAGAAACGTGGAGAAAATTGCAAACCACACTAAAAACACAAGAACCTTCCCGGACAGATGAGTCTCCACCAGGAACAAAAAGCTCTTCCTCCGTGTGGATCAAAACCTTCTCTGAGGTCCTGGCTGAAAAGAAACATCGGCAGCAGGAAATGGAGAGACAGAAACCCAAAAAGGATACAAATTGCCCCGTGTGGACAGCAGATACTGGCGTGAAGAAGACAGGGAGTCTGTTATCTGTTGCTGTCTGGACAGCCTGAGGAGGCTGCAGGAAGAGCCACCTCGATGCAGGAGGTGCACATGAAGACGCTAGAGGAAATCCCTGGAGCACAGGTAAACTCTGAGAGCAGTGCCAGCTCCTGGCCTCAAGCGGAGGCTAGCAAAAGAAGAGAGAAACAATACTTGAGCTTGAAGACAGAGACACTGGTTCTCAGAGCAGTGTGACTAAGACAGAGGCTACTGAGGCTTCAGATGAGACCCTAAGTGATAGCACAAAAATTCCAGCCAATAGAGGTGACACTGTCAGAGAGAAACAGATTGAGAAAGGACTGGAGACAGGTGCCTCACAGAAGGAGAAGCCAGCCTTGACACCTGTCCTGGAAGACCGAGCCTTGTACTATACCTGAGTGGTGGGGGAGGCCAGTGCTCACGGTTGTGTGGGGATACATTGTGTACCCTAATAAAGCTTGCCTGGGTATTGGGGACTATGGGGGTCCAGCCCCTCGGCAGTCCCCTCCCAGGGTCCGGGAAAAATATACAACCAGCTCATAATTAATCTTTGATGAAAGGAAATGAATCTATGTACACAAAACTTCTTAGTCCATACACTTTATTATTTATTCTATGATGGTTCTCTCTCTACACAGCTTCTATTCTGCTCTCATGCCTAGCTCCTTTCTTGCCTGATTTCTCCCTATGTTTATCTACTGCTCCCTCTAAGTTCTATCTTAATTCTCTCATCTTAATTCTGCCTCATCTAGGTCCTTTTCATCTTGTTCTTACCCAGCTAGTACTTCCCCATCTGACTCTTCTTCATCTTCCCTCTCGTCCACACGCTCTCTGTGGTCAAAATCCTCCTTATCCCTCTCTGTTCTCCCCAAGTCTCTCCAGAGTCCAGTTATAAACCCAAGCAATAGCAATCCCCTGGTCAAGCAAGGTCACCAGGCTTGAATTCTACAGGGTCATAAAGGCAGCTAAGAATTTTCCTCAAGCAGTGACCACCAGGCTTCCAGGGTCAAATGGGGGGTGATAAGAATCACATAGAGGGGCAGTAATTGTTAATTATCATTTGCAAACCAAAAGGGAAGTGACTAATGAATTAACTAAAGGCTAAATTCAGGTAATATCTAAGAA